TCTAGATTTTGAGATGTGTGGTCCATTATAATTGTGAACAGTCGTCCTGACATGCAATAGCTTACCAGAACTTCTTGTTCTTATCTCACTATGACCTAGTACTCGTTGATCAACTTCTCCCCATCCCTCCACTCCCACCCTCCCAGTTTCTGACAACCAACATTCTACTCTCAACTTCTAGAACAACTTCTTTAGATGCTACCTAGGAGTATGAGCATAAGGTCCCTTCGTTTCTATGCCTGTCTTATTTCACTTAACATAATGATCTCCACTTCATTCTTGTTGGAAATGACGGGATTTCATTTCTTTTTAAGACTGAATAGTATCCCACTGTGTATAAAAATATCTCATTTTATTTATTCAACAGCTGATGAAGACTTGGGATGTTTCCATAACATTAACTCCTGGAAGGACTTGAATTAGCAAGCCCATAATATCCACTCATTCCTGGATGTGCATACTTCTCCCTAAGTCTCCCCCTGCCCTGCCCCCACCTTCCAAACCAAAGGCCATCAGGTCAGGCCTTAGGGACTTGCTGTATGTAGCGCTTAGAGGAAGATGGGCTGGGCTACAACAGACTGTGAAGAAACATAAACTTCAGCAATTTATCAAAAAGCTGAATCATGGACAATTATTCTTCCTTATTCTTGAGTTTTTTGGGTCCATTATTTATTTAAATTAATCAAGATATAAGAACAATGCCTGGTCCTTTCTCGTTTAATCTTCTGAGATGAGCATATTCCTGGCATCTAAAATTGGAGCTTATTAAAACACTGCCAGGATAGCACAAGGCCTTCTCTCATCAACCCAATCATCAGCGCGTCACCCCTTACTGAAAATGATCACGTGCTTGCTTTCACCTAAGCTGTGATGAAACTGGAGTTCAGTGTTACCTGCTTTTTGAACTTAAGCAGAATCATACAGTTTATATTTCTTTACGTGTAGCTTGATTAACTGTATTTTAAGCTTGCCTAAGATGTTCCCCATAATCGTTTGCTTATGAGTAATGATTATACTACTTTTAAAAAATCATTGATACTATTGATTAACATTGCTGGGGAAGCTGAAGCAGGAGGATCGCTGTGAGTTCAAGACCAGCCTGGGCTACAAAGTGAGCTCAAGGCCAACCTGAGCTGCATAGTGAGACTCTGTCTCAAAAAGAAAAAAAAAAAAAAAAAAAGGCTATGATGTTTGTCTCTTGTCAGGGACATATAATTATTAATTTGTATGATTACACTACATTAAAAAACCATTTATACTAAAAAAACTTGGGACTTCTGGCCCACAAACCATAGTTCCTCTCTCTCATGCCTTAGCGCTGGTGACTCTGGCACCATATGAGAATCACAAAGGTCAACACTTTGCTACCACTACCCTCCTTTAAATCAGCAGATCCCTCTTGAAAAACAAAAATACAGATTTCTCCTGGTTTAAGTTGTTGTTGTATGGTATCTACCCTGGCTAGCTCCCATTTAAACAAGAGGATCTATGTGGGTAGTAAAATGTTGCTGTTGTCTGTCTAGCCTGCCAGGGTCTACCAGAAGTCAGGAATTTGGCCACAATTCTCACCACTATGTTATTAGGCATTCCTTAAAACATAACCCAGCCATAGGAGATGTGCAGTGATTCCTCACCCACCACAATGAGAGAAAATTTGCATGTCATAACATGTAATGTCTGTGTCACCCCACAAATCTTACCAGTAAATCAAAGAGCCTCCTTCTTCACCCAGACTAGGGATGATGGACTATATTTACTGGTTTTATAATGCTGCTTTTTGTTCCAAGGTCATGGTGACATAATAGCAATTATGGGTACCTTTCAATACAGCTTTATTTTCTCAGTTACTGGAAAGCTGTCCATACCACTGTGCGAGAAACTGATAGCAGGTGTTGCTTCTGGAGAAATGTTAGACGTCTGGCAGTCAGGAACAAGGGGTAAAATTTACTTTTATATGCAATTTGGGAAGATCCTGTTTTTCAGTCTCTTGCTCTCTCTCTGGCACAATACCTTTACAACTGAGGCAGGAGATTAAAGCACGGCAAACTGGCTGGGGAAAAGGGCATGACCTGTTGATCCTAGAGTTATGGGTTATATGCGCAGAACACTTCTCAATGTCCTGAACTTGGAACCGATCAGAGTGCTATCTTCAGTTCTTTTCATGAGAACTCAAGGCAGTTTTTGACAGGATGGCTTAGACTTGATGACAGACTGAGGAATGGGAAATACAAAAAGACCGCAGAACAGTGGTAAGCCTAATGCCACCAGCAGCTGTTTCTGTGGCTTCCTGTGGTTGCAGGGAGTATCTCTTTTCTTACATTCAGTTAGCAGAACTGGCTCTGCAGAGCATGTTTCTTTTCTGTCTTACCTTTAACAAATGTAAAACCTTGCTACCTTTTGCTCTTGTCTTTACCAGTTCTTTGCACAGGACAGAAAGACACTAGGAACCACCTCTAGAAGGAGACTCCGGGACCCCAAGATCCAGTCACACAGTGACATCTTGGTTATACTAAACTGCCACATTAATGCTTGGGTCTCCCTCCTTTGTATATCTGGGTCCTGGCCAGACTGCTGTCCGTTCCTTCATCAACACTCCAGTGTCTCTGTGGCACTGTCCACTCTATCATTCAGATCCCACAAGACTGTCCAAGATCAATAATTCCCTAGCTGGCCATAATCAACTGGTGTTTGCCTTTCAGCATGCTGAGACAAAGTAGAAATTCTGTACAAAGCAGCATAAATTTCCAAAGATACTTTTTGGCACGACAGGTAGAAATCCCAATTAATTGAATGCAAAGTCATGATGTACATATATGCATTACTTATTTTTCCCAGAGGATCCATAACTCTAATAACATTTTCCAAGTGATTGATAATTGCCAAAACAATAATAACAAAACCTTGAGAATCTCGCCACAAATTTTGTAGGTGCCTGGTCCATACCCATATGCTGTTCTCGTATTTTCCATGTGTAAATACCATATGGTTGCCTGAGAGCTTTTTTTTTTTTTTTTTGTCTTTTTGAGACAGGTTCTCACTATGCAGTTCAGGCTGGTCTTGAGCTCACTTTGTAGCTCAGGCTGGTCTCGAACTTATAAGAATTTTCCTGCCTCAGTCTCCCAAGTGCTGAGATTACAGGCATGCACCTCCCCCACCCCCGGCTGTGAGAGCTTTCTCTAGTTTGTGTAATAGAAATTCTTGGAAGTTAGTATCCCCATAAACAGCCTTTAAATATTGGTAGGTGGGAGTTGGTGAATAAATAGCCCCGCTCACGGGGCATGGTGGTACACTCTTGTAATTCCAGCACTTGGGAAGCTGAGGCAGGAGGATTGCTATGAGTTTGAGGCCAGCCTGGGCTACAAAGTGAGTTCAAGGCCAACCTGAGCTGCATAGTGAAATATTGCCCAAAGAGACAAAAATAAATAAATAAATAAATAAATAACTATCCCCACTCCTTACCTCTTAGACGGCACAACTCTAAGAATTGCCATATGCACAGTCTTCCAGGGTCTCCCAGGGGTAGTGATCTGATAGCCTCAGGACAACCTGATCATCAGCACACCCTCACTGTTTTTCTATGGCTGTCTCCCATCACCCACTGCCTGTTTCTGGAGATCACCCAATGTGCACTTGGGGTCAGCTTCTGGGGGAACCCAGCTCAAATCAAATCAAACCACTATTCCACTCATATTATCACAGAATATTTATTTATTCTGGCTGTCAGTTTGATTATCTGTAGTCAAACAAACAAACAATAAAATCAGAATGCCTGCTAAATGGCCCAGTTCTACATTCATCTTCAGATATATTCATCTTTGTATTTCACTGATCACTCCTTTAATGGTAAATTAGACCCTACTTTGTAATACAACTCTCTGCAGTCCACAGCACACTAGAGATAGCTCATATATAAAATATATTATTCTTCCTACTACTGTATCTTTTTCTGCTCACCCTGATTACTTAAAAACGTTCTATAGCACTTTGCAACCTTGGGGAAAACATGAAATGAATGAAAAAAGTGAGCTAACCTGTGACATTAGAGATACTGAATATTTAACATCAATTTTATCAAAGGTCACAACCTGCTGTAGTTAATATTGTTTTTCTACTTGGTTCAGGATTTCCCCTCTTTTCAGCTTTCTCTTGGCTCTCATCTTTCTTAAGAGATTAACTGGAATCTTTGTAGCTGTTTAAAAATCAGACTCTGGAAATTATAGGCATGTTGTTGAGCAGATGGAGTTTTGCAGTTCTGCAGACCAAACCTAATTATCCATTTTGATGTCATCTGAGTTTCTATTTGAGTTGCCAATGTTTGTCCATTTGACTCTTCTCCTGTCCATTAAGCAATTTTACTGCATGATAGAACACTGACATAAAAAGAATTTTAGGAAACCAGCTGCTGTGTTGAGAGTAATATAGATCTGCCAGAACAACTCACCCCAAGTCCATTTCTCTAGAAAAGAACTCAAGAAAGGTCTTAACACATCTACAGGACACAGTCTAGAAAATTCCTATGATGCTAAGACACTTCAGCACATGCACTGAGTGCATTTCACTTGTTCAAATTAAAGGATACTTTGTCTCCATCCGAATAGCACAAGCACTAAAATGTAAATTGCAACGACCTAAATATCAATGGATATTAATTTTTTTCAGTTTCTATAAAGGGGCAACTGCCACCCCACCCCCACGAATCTTGTTTTTCCCACTCACTGACATGACAGATACTAATCTTCAGGCAGTGTACTCCCCCCACCCCAATTTCTTCACTCTTTAGCAACAGCACCTCTAGGAAAATAGAAAAAACAAAAACAAATGAACAAAATAAGAATGAAAACAGTGAGAATTAATTTTTATATGCAGTGAGGCTTACATAAAAGATAAAAACAAAATGTTTAACGTGAATGCTTTTTAGTAGTAAGAGGACTTTTTAAATATTTAAAAAAAAAAAAGAAAAGATGGAGTCTCAGTGTGTTGAGGCAAACTCCTGGGCTTACGCGATCAATCCGCATCAGCCTGCTGAATAGCTGGGACTGTAAGCGTGAAGCGGCACACTTGGCTTCATGTGCTTCTGAATAAGAAATACCTAACCGACTATTAAACCTATAAAAGGAGGGACAGGTAAGATCACTTAGAACGTCTATTTGGACAATAGTTTCTCCTTTATTAGAAGCTTACAATTTTCCTAGCCCTTTAGAGTGTGATTTGTGAGCTGAGATTATATGTTCTCTCCACCACAGACCTGAAATTAAGTCAGCACACCCACAAGGGACTGTCTTAGACAGGGAGCCCTGTGCCATCCAAAGAACAGCCTCTGCCTGCTCACCCTGCCAGGCCTGCCAACCCCGGAGCTTCCCCTTCCTTCCCTTCTTCACTAAGGAAGAGCAGAATGCATGGCTGGTATCTTCCCAAACCCATGAACAAGGACACCAAAGCTGCCCGGGATTTCCACTGTTCTCATTTACTCCTGCTACTTATTCTTTCAACCCTCTTCCGGTCCATCACACTACCTTTCCACGCTATCGCTACCACCACTATCCATTCTAGATCCCCTGCCCATGTGAAACATCTACCATTTCTTCTTAAAACTCCCAACAGTGCCACTTCCGCAGCATGGAAGCTGCAACTTGCCCTTAAATAATCTATGCTCCCTTGTTACTGGGAAGAGAGTATGGTTTGACACAGAAGTCTCAGCTACCAATTCTGTGTCAGAGCAAGAAAAGATGCTTTAGTGGAGTACCAAGTTGGCCCGGTGCATGCAAATCCCCACAGAAATAGCCTCATAAATGTCACACCATTATGTTCTATACCAGGAAAACCGTAGGTTAAATGGTGTTGGTGGGCTTCCAAGAAAATAATATTTGCAGCATGGTTTCTATGAGGTGTATTAAGATTTTCCAGCAATGCAAAGCACAAGCTAATTCCTCAAAGGAGTGTAATCTAGCTTCCAAAAATCTCTCTCCAGCCAGGTCAGCTCTCTTTCTGGCATCTCTACTTGGATGCTCCTCACGTGCCAAGAACCTAACATTTGTAGTCCACTAAACCTGCTCATCTGCTCTTCCCTGTTTAGTTAATAGAGCCCTTATCCCGGGTTGCTCAAACCTAGAAACCTCTCTGAGGCGGCTTTGTTTCCTGTTCCTAGCTGCCCACGACCAACAGGGCTCAAATCTTTCCAGTGCTTCCTCCAAAACACCTCCTAAGCCTCACTGGCTGCGGCAGCTTGACTTCGGCAACTAGGCTTTTACTGTTACCATGGCAATAATTTCTTCATTCATTTCCTTCCTTTTGTTTCTTTCTCTTCATACTCATCCTTGGCATTGCTTCTAGGTTTCTTTCCAAAACATAGCCCTTGTTTCAAAGTTAAAAGAAAAAAAAAAAAGCAGCACACCATGAATTTGTTCGTGATCAACCGAAAAGTCTGACTTCAGAAGAAAAGGTGTGCTCCGTCACACCTGAGCACCCAGGCAGTACAGCTGAGGCTTTTGCCTAGAGCAGCTCTTGAAAATCTCAAAAAGTGAGCTGAATAGGTGGCTCTAGTGCATCTAGTTTTCTCTCGCTGGGTGCCCCAGAAAAATCTATGCTGAGTGTCCCTCACCAGGAGCCACAGGGATATAGAGGAGTCCACTTCATGAATTCAAGCGTAGATTCTTGCTACGGAAATATTCCTGTGGCTCTCCTGTCTAATGTGATCTCCAATGGTCAGAGACAACTTTTATATCAATTACAGAAGTTCTCCATCGCAGTTTTCCTGAGCTCTCTTCCTTTTACCACTTTCCTAGGCTGTCTCTTGTCATTCTATTAGAACTTTAATGGCTTTAGTTTAAATTAAGCTGTTAAGGCATTCTGTACACTCTTCTATTCAAGTATGTTAGAATAAAGCTGGGCGTGATGGCACAAACCTTTAATCCCAAAACTCAGGAGGCTGAGGCAGGAGGATCATTGCCAGTTTGAGACCAGCCCAGACCACAAAGTGAGCTCATAACCAGCCTGAACTGCACAGTGAGA